GAAAGCCACTATGTTGAATACATGTCATACTGTTAGGAAATTCCTGAATACAGACACTGGCACACTTATTTAATTTTAGTTTTGTTTTGGTTGCTTTGTCTTGACTCAGGTCCGGCATAGTACACAGCCACCGGTGTGTACTGAGTATAATTCACTAAACTCCGCATAATAATAATAATAGATAAATGATTTAATAGAGATTAAAAAACAGATTATACATACCACTAACAGAAAAATCAACAGAATTGACACCAAATATAATACTTTGCTTTGAATATACAGCTACTTCTCTATCTGCTCGTAAATCAAACAATCGACACTGTAAAAAAAAGAAAATAACAACATAGGTTTACCAAAATTCCTAAAATTTTTATATNGAAATATCCAGATCCTAAAATAAAAGGTTGGCATTCGATCAATTTTAAATTTTGTATTAATTTTTTTCAATAATCTATTTATGTTCTTTTATGAAGAATTTATTGTACTTTCAAGCCAACTTACTGTTACTTCTGTGTTGGATGGCAAAAAGGATTAAATAAAAAAGACTTTAAAATATGTCTACTTACTTTTCAATTTTCTTAATAATTAATTAATGGTATGAAACAGTTTTCTTCAATAAAACAAATAATTAAGAAAATTGAATTTTCAATATTATTTATACTATATATAAAGTATATATAGTATATATTATATACTATATATACTTTATATATAGTATAAATAATATTGAAAATTCAATTTTCTTAATTATTTGTTTTATTGAAGAAAACTGTTTCATACCATTAATTAATTATTAAGAAAATTGAAAAGTAAGTAGACATATTTTAAAGTCTTTTTTATTTAATCCTTTTTGCCATCCAACACAGAAGTAACAGTAAGTTGGCTTGAAAGTACAATAAATTCTTCATAAAAGAACATAAATAGATTATTGAAAAAAATTAATACAAAATTTAAAATTGATCGAATGCCAACCTTTTATTTTAGGATCTGGATATTTCTTTAAAAAAATAAATAATAAATAAATTTATAAATTATAAAATAAACTAAATCAATTATGATGCTGCAAATCAGTATAATTATATTTTAGAAACTTATAATTAGAAAATCTTTAGTATTATAAAATATGAAAGAACAACATAACATTAATCTGCAAAATGAATAGCTAATAAATAAGATAACTTAAATGAATGTATATTAATATGATCCATAATAATATCTCAATTAGAAAACAGTCATTTTTATTTCAATAAGAAAAAATTCAATAAAACAATAAAAATAATACTAAAATGTGTAACAGAATGTAAAAGTAAATACTTAATAACTATAAAAAGATAACAGTGATACACATCAAGATTTATGACTGAAAAAACAGGAGACAACCATCTTTTTTATTATTTTAATAAATAAAATCACAAAATGTAAACTAAAAGCAAATACTCTCAAGTCAATGAAATTTATCATCATCAAGCAAAAGGTATAACTTAAATGGAATATTTGTATATTTGTACTCCATTCAAGTTACATCTTTTGCTTGATGAACATAAATTTATTAACTGAGAATACTTGCTTTTCATTTAATTTTGTTCTTAGTCATTAAAGTGACAACAAAAGATTATTGTCTCATATTTTATCTGGTACATATAATTATTTCATGCATTCATGTAAATAATGTAGTGAGTAGATTTGAGAACATTATGCAAAATCATTAAAATAATTTACCGTTGCATCATCAGAACCTGTAGCAATAGCATCTCCACTAGGATAAAATTTTACAGTATTTATATCAGCTTCATGTCCTTCAAAAGATTGCACACACTGACCAGTACGCATATCCCAAACCAGAGCCTGTCGATCACAACCCTAAATATTCAAATTAATTTAATTATTATTATGTAATAAAACACAATTCTTGTTTACTTTCATTCTAAAGAAATGTAAACAAAAATCTAAATAAATTTATTTTGGTACATAAATAATCAACAACTTTTCTTGCAGTTGAAATTATCAAATGTCTAAAAAATATTTTCTATCTAATTAGTGATTCCATTTTAATATCTTAAATAAATTACCACCACCACTAACAAAATTTAGGGAGTCAAAATTAAAACATTTTCAATTCTTTCATCTCATTGTTTGATTATACCACACATAAGCAACCTTTCTATATTAATGGGCCATACATAGAACACTGTTTTGATTCACACTTGACCTAATCTTGGGCCAAACATGAATTTTATTAAAACTATACATAAAGGAAACTGTAGCTTTGTAAAATAAATATATATACTATGGATAATTAATTTTCAAATTTATCAGTTACAACCACAACCTCATGACTTTTGTTAACAAATGAATCTATTGTGAATTACCTATGATGTAAATACCCCGTATATCTCGACAGATAAGACAATAGTTGAATCATAAAAAAAGGCCCCCAAAATCCTGGGTCATTTAATAGGACAGATACAAAAAATTAGATTGAAATTTATATAAATTAAAACTATTATAAAAAAATAGACAAACCTTAATTATTTACTAGTAAAGAGCAGGGTATGTGCATGAAATAGAATAGCCCATATGACGTTTTTGTGAATAGTCAAAGTCATTACCCGAATGCTGAATCAGTGCGATTGTTGCAAACATTTGCACTGCTGCCAGATGCAAGAAAATAAAATCTGTTCATTCAAAAAATTACAAATGGGACATAATTCTGTAAACACTATACAGTATTATTATTCAGATGATAATCGCTGATCTAAACTAAACTCATAGGCTGTTGATAGTTTGGGGGTCATCTTATAGGATAGATATATGCTAAAACTATAAAACTTCGACAAAAATTTATACTTTGTCTTATCTGCAGAGATATGTGGTACATTTAAAGAATCTGGAGAGTATGAAGGCCAGAGATAAAGTCATATTTAAATTACTTTTATTTTAAGTTATAATTAATTAAAGTTATTTTTGTTCTTTACTAATAACAATGTTCTTAAAAATTTTAAATATCTTATGCTTGAAAAAATTAGAAATAATTTTACATTACTTTTTTATCCAAATGATTGTTGTTCTGTATTTTCTGTTAAAATGACCATTCCTAAGATTTAAACTGATAATGAGCTTTAATACAAATATAATTTGTATTACAGCTTATTATTTCAAATTAAAATGCTAATTAATTTACATGTATACTTGAAAATCTGGATAGTATAACTTCAAAATCTGGTTTAATTGAGACTGGATGGTATCCAGTCTCAATTAAACCAGATTTTTGACACTTCACCATAATAATACTTATAAACACAATCTAGTGTTCCATAATTTAAAGGCAAAAACAGCTGTGTTTATTGCTATACAGTAACTCATACAACCAACCATATTATAGATAAAGCTAAGTTTGAAAACACAAGTGCATTCATTTATAACAGAATATAAAGAAATTCTCAAACTAAAGAAAATAGATACAATTTCAATAATTATAACTGCTGCTGGCTTAATAAACAAAAAATCTTTCCAGCAACATTTCAAAGTTACAATTTAATCTAAAGAGTATAATCCCTAAAGCACAAAAATCAATTCTTGAAACCTGCCAGATTGGCTGCACTGTGCTAAATTTGCATTCAAAATGCTAAGAATAGGTTTGTCATTTATACCACAATACCAGATGATAATTCTTGTGAAAAATAAGTAGTAATAATAATAATATTCAGTTCAGAGCATACTTAGCAGTTTTATTAATTACTTGGACATAATAATAATTAGCAATAATAATGATTTGAAATATAAAGATATTGTAAAAGAAGCAATCTTTTCAAAGCAATAGATCATCATTCTATCATGTCATTGTATATAAACACCTTAAAACACCTTTCAAATTGAAAATAAACAAAAATAACATTGTTCAAAATACAGTCGACCCCCCTATAAGATATAGATACGTTCCAATTTATTAGGAATTTGATTTCTTACAAGTCGTTCCAATCACAGCCCGACACGTGTCAAGTTTACGGACTACGGCTGATTGAAAGATTTTCTTCCATAAAATTAATCGATTCTACACTAATCCGACTCAACATTTCCAAAATACGTATATTTTTTCGTAGTTTTATAGGAATCGTAATTATAGGGACCGTAATTATAGGGGGGTCGACTGTAAACATCTTTCAAATTGTAATGCTTAAATCCATAAACAAGACAACTGATCATAATATAGTTAAAAAAGAAAAAGAAAACATTATATATAGGACAGTTAAATTACCCGTATTATTTATTATTAAGATGGTATAATAAAAAATTTAAAATAGAGAAGGAAGCCCTTAAAAATTTATTGTACTCCATTACTTTTTATATAAACAAATAAAATAAACTTATAAATGGTTTTCATAGAAGACTTTTATAACCTTTATGAGATTATACAAAGTTTCTTTAAACAACATTAGGCTCAAGTAGTACCAGAGTTAAAATCAAAAGTAAGTAATTTGTTAATATTAAAAT